AAAATGACTAGACGATGTGGTCGATAACAAACACAACTCTCACATTCCTCCATTCTTACTAAATATTTCCAAAGTTTCAAAATGAATTCGATTCAATTTAGAATCGAATATTCGCTAAATTCGTTATAATAAACAACATATAATAAATTATAATAAATATATAATATGTTACGATTAACGAATAACGGAACATCATCAACATTCTTACGTCTTATTGCTGTACATGTACATGTAGGTATACTGTGTACTTATGTATATATAATATATTTTACTCTTCATCTTTGGCATTTTTAGTGATTCTCTTTAATACGATGCCCTCATAAATTTATCTATTCTGATAAAATGATTTGTCTTGCGAGAGGGATGATACGCTTTAACATTTATACACGAAGTTGCTCGAGTCTAAACGAACGCAGACTCGTATTTACAATGATACCTCGTTTAACGCTAAGAGCTCGTTAATATAAATCCCTTTGATTATAACGAAACGCGCTGTCGCAGCGCAATTATGTACAAAGTGATCCCCTAAATGAGTAGAACAGCTTTATCTCCCGCCTTCCAACCCTTTTCTTTGGTCTCTTTGTTTTTCCCTTCGCTTCTTCTTTAATTGCGGGTCTACAGAAAAACCTCAGACCATACTTTTTAATTAATCCTTCCATGCCCTCTTGCAAATTATTCTATCAGTTTCGAGCTAATTTCTTTTTTTTTCAGAAAAAATCCTCAAAGCGCATATAACTTTTGGATAATTTCGCAAACTAATTTTTCAGCTAAAATTCTATTCAAAAATTTAAGTGATTAAGGGCGAAGATAATAGAATGAAAAGAATACCTTTTCTTTGTACGCAAGCTTTAAAGGTTGAAATTTGCTAACATTACACGTACACATATAATTAAAACGTCCTGTTCACCATATTCAATTTCAGATGAGCAGAAATTTAATTTGTCGCAAAAGTATATGATGGCAATCAAGGCAAAATATAGGAGCTCGCGCACGAATCAAATGTTAGTTCGAAAGTTTATTTCGACGTTATCGGACCACCGGGCTAAAATATTACTGCTGAAACGGAACATCAATCTGCCGACGGACAGGAGCCTTATTTACGGACCTGATGGAACGCTGCCGGGACAGAAATAGACCCTTGGGGACGAACGGCGAATGTATCCCTTAAAATAGGTCGGCCGCAGGACGAAATAGGCACGAGTATGCCGTACATACTCTATTCACGTTCTCTTTGGGACTATGTCCTTCTCTCTCGCAAATTAGATTTGACATTTGCGAATACTTGACGCAAATATATGACGTTGCACACCTGGATGACCTTAGCTTTAACAACGACTTGAAAATTTTTCACGAATTTGAAACGTTCTTAATTTTAATGATAAATTCTTTGTGTGTTTTTTTCGAACAGTCTTCATTTCAATGATAAATTCTTTAAAATTGAATTGGCTTCCTTATTCTTCTTTATATATTTTATTGTATCCCTGAACTTCTTTCTCAAAAACCCCATTTAAAAAAGATAATCAGAAAAGATTATAGTTACAAAGACACGATGATATATCAACGTCTCCGTAACACTATCTCGAACATTATTTTTACTTTATCAACATAAAAAGTACACCATTTTTTCAGGAAGAACAGAATTTTGCCAAGTTATGTCTTATATTTAAAAAATTATACGCCTTTTTAAATTAAATGTTTCCCTACGCGTTTTAAAATAACTTTTTAAACTCGATATTTTCGTACAGGGAAGAATAGATTATAGTATCGAATTATTAAACATTTTGCATAGTAAAAAAGGAAGAAATTTTTTGATCACCCTGATTCTCACTTTTAGGATTGATCCGTCCTACCTGTGCTACTCCGGTCCTATCCATTTCTTTTTATTCAAAAGATGCTCCGGGGACTCCGCTGTTACTTTCACCTCTACGGATCCCATAATCCGTTTAAATGCACGCCTCGATATGGACGTTGGTCATCTCGCTATTGCGCAGCTGATTGTTGACATGCAGCTCGGACGAGGCGTTGCTGTGCACGAGGTCCTGTTTACGATGCACCTGGCGAAGATCATGCACCGGTCCGATCGCGCGGCAGCAGCTTTCGAGGGTTTTGCGAAAGGCTGCGCGAAACTCGCGATTAAAGTATGCGTAGATCAGCGGGTTCAGGGCACTGTTGAAATAGCCCACCCAGAACACCGTCGCTACCACCGCGTCGCCGCTTTTACACGAGTCGCACAGAGACGTGATGACATACCTGTATCGAACAGACATTCACAAAGTCGATTAATGCATTGAAATAAATCATATATAGGGAAATTGGAAGCTTTTTCTCGCGTTGAATCCAATTTTCCTCTAATTTGTTAATGCATACGTTAATGCAATAGACTTACTGTGCATATAAAAACAATTTTAAACAGGAAAATATTTTCACAGATATAAATTAGAGGAAAGTTCAAACCCTGGCTTAGGTAATATTTTTCGCAATAAATTTATAATAACATTATTTACACTCTAGCACCATGTCACGGCTCTTAACCCTCTTATTCCTTCAAACATATAAATTAGTTCAGTGAAAATATAACAGGGTGGATTATATAAAGAAAACTTTGTATATAATTGAAATCATATTCGAATCTATAATAAATATTACTGCATAATAAATCGCGTAATAACTGCTACATACGTTTTATAAAAATTCTTACTTTCCCGATTTCTCATAATATATTTGTTGTTAAATAAATGTGATTCAATCGTACTAGTTTTCATAACGAGTTTCTAACTGTAGATTGTGTATCGACGTACACAATCATTTATCATACAATTATGATTTGTCATATGCGACACTTGTGATATGATTAAATTATTAAATAAACTATAATAATGTAGAAGTAAGAAAAGGATATGTTTTTCAATTATAAGAAAATACATAAAGTTCGGTTGCGAAATATCCATATCAAGTGCATCTGTATATGTAATAACGATCTGTATATTGCGGTGGAAAGGAAGAAACGAAGTATCTCATTTTCTGTCGGCGTGACCTACATGCACCTGACGTCGAAATTGTTTCCATCGACAAGGGAAGAATGGATTTACAGGCTTCCAGAAGGGGACGATCCTCCCCCTCGTCGCGATCTCTCTTGAACCGCGTTGTTATATGATTTCTTCCTCCCTCCCACCATTATCGATTTAAAAGGGGGCAAATAATGTAGGAATAACTGTATTGGATCGCTCAATGTTAAAATGCCGCGATTCTATGAAGCTAAAAATAGACCATCTACTTGAGAATCTGTTCCAAATCTACTGGGAATCTAGTTAGAACTTTCCCATTTCCAAATAAGATCTCTTTTCACCCGAAAAGATAGAAAATTTAAGTAAATTTCAAATAAGTTTCGAAAAGCAGACTATGTTTATATGTTTTTGAATGTTTCTTTAAATTTGTCATGGCAAATTTTTATCTCTGAACAGAATCAGACTACATTAATGCAATCGAGAGTACAATTTAGGCAAATTTGTAAAAAAAAGATTCTGAAACATACGATTTTCAATGTCGGTGAAACTTCTTGTAACTATTTCTATCTTTACTTGTTATTAGTTATATAAACTTCCAGGCAGATCCCACGCTTTTCTGTGAGTTTTAACACATCCATAAACAAACGTCCATAAGAAAAATTAATTTAAAAAGAATAGCTTTTACTCCCCTATAGAATCGTATGTCATTACCGTGGTTTTACGTGCATTTACATCGTTGATCGATACAAATCGAACTATGTGTCTCGCATTAGTGTGTATTAGCTGCACGAGCTAAGAATAGAATGGCTACCGGTTAAGGTCAACTTTCTTTCTCTCTGCTCATGTGAATGGCTAAAGTTCTTTACATCGAGATAGTTTCTCATTGACCGTCGCGTCGTTCAATTTCTTTAAAACTTTTATCCGCGTTTCTCTTTCTCTAACGATGACCGGCGCAACATAATTGCTACACAAATCGATACTTGATTTCTTTTGCCTACTTTTTATGCAATGCCTGCACCTTAATTTATTCAAGACGATTTTTTATGCAATGGACTCTGCATTAGATCAATAAATTATAATCAATAAAAATATAGCACGAGATCACATACATTATATCTTTTACATATAACGGTTGAGAACATTTCTTTTCGCAATTTATTGACATACATAACAAAAATTGATAAAACGTTTAAATTTATAAATAAAATTTTCTAAATATATTATATTTTTCATAAATATATAATTATAAGAAAAATAAATAACTATTGTATGATAAATAATTATATTGTAAATATATATATTGCAAATCGACCAAAGTCTTTACAAAATTCATTCGCGTCTCTGTTACGTTGACAGATTCAATTTGTCCCAGGAAAAATATTCGTAGTGCGAGTAGTGACACCTTGAGACGTGTCAGACGACGACAAAAAGAATCGAAAAAGCTTGGTGGGCAAGAATGGAAAAGTGGGTCAAGGATTTACCCCGTAATGAGGCCAGACGAAGAGGGAGAGAGAAAAGTAGAGTATTGGCTTGTATTATTCGGCGGAATAATGGGAACAGAGATCCGATTCTCGAATATATAGGAAAATTGATAGCCGTATAGTGAATTTAGCGGCGATATACTGGTGGAATCGCGCGACGAGACATCAATTCTATTGTTTTTCCGACGAAGCGATAGAGTTGGTGAAACCACCAACAACGTAATGACAATTGATAACGAGCAAATAATCGAAAGCTATTGTCCTGCTTCTTCCCCGTGTTTTCTCTTCGGCACGTCCCTAGCGTCCCAAGTATCACGCCACCTGTTATTACTGCGATTACGTATCCTGATTCACGCTTTTTCTTCATCAAACTCATTGATATAGCAATTGTGATATAATATTAATAATGTTAAATATCAACGTAAAATAAAGAAAATATCAAGAAATGTAGACTGTAAAAATGTAAAAAATGTTACGTTTTCTATAAAAGATTTTACATAAAAATACATTGTTTTTCTGAAATTATATAAAAGATTATCAAATACTAAATATATTACTGTAAATATATAAATTTAATGCAAACCAACTAGGTACAGATATCGACGAAAAATTCTCTTAAATGAAACAACGCGGATTACCACACTTTACTGTAGCGTCGCTTACTTGAGAAAACAAAGAAATCACGAAAGTGCAACAGGATTTGAAATATGAAACTGGCTGGAAATCGATTAAATAATCAAGTATATGGCAGCATTTAACTCTTATAAGCTCGGTGATCTTCGAATCGATTTAGATTACCGCGAAATATGACAACTGGGCGTTTCTTTTCCTTAGCCATCTTCCGAATTATTGAACTTCCTTGATGCCCGCGGGAAATTTTTCATGAAGTGAGAAGCCACTAAGTGATTACATGGAAAAACACTTTGGTACGTCCATATTTTGGGAAGGTCGTTATCATCCCAGATTTCGGGTAAAGATATATTATTTTTATTTGTTATTATTTTTATTGGTTTATTATAGTTAATTTAATTTTTTTATATTAATCCTATCTATAAAACCTATCTATTTAATTTCTTATGTTAATTTTTATTCTCTTATACCATAACCTAAACTCACTAAAAATTATTAACATGTTAAATATTAAATACTGGAAAATATTAAAAATTAACATAATTCGCTTAAAAATCGACTATTTAAATTTTAGTTTAAACTTTACCTTATATGCAATTTCGAAATTAAATTGAAATTATTACTATATCATTTCTGTAAATATTACTTAACAATTTGATAAAACGAGAAATATGAAAAATAAAAGAAAAATAGAAAAGCATTCCATTTTCCATTCAATGCTTCAATATAAATAGTTTTTTATCAGATATCAATATAACCGGTTTGCAAGAGATATAACTGTTTGTATGTTTTTTTCGCAATCCTGCACAATATATTGTGTCTCGTAAAACAGTAACGTAACCATTCATATCCATTAAACACGAGCGATGAATGTTTATCGCGCGCTAAAAGCCCGTAATAAAAGTTCCGAAAGCTAAAGGGATAGCCAATCAGAAAAGATATAAATTCATATTTTCCGTTTTAAGTACAAGTATTTCTCGCTTATAAATGAATTATATAAATGAATTATGATAGTATAATACGTACAAATATTCTTATACTCAAATATTGTTGCTTTAAAGCTACACACATGCAGTTTACGCGATCCCTTCGTCAATACTGCCGGACGTTTTATTGAAAAAGCCTACAGAAATGAATCGCGCGCGCGCGCGATGATAAAATATTAATACTAACAAGTTAAATTTAGAAATGGCTGACTTTCGGTCCTTCATCGTCGACACAAGTCTATTGTGACATGTCGTCATGCTACTGCGTTATATTTCGAGGAGAGGCACTTGACACACACCGGAACCACCCTTTCTCCGCGTCGAGGTGGCTGCACACAACCCCCAAGCTCTCTCCGTTGCAAATCTCCGGAGATCGCGGCGACATACACTACTTTTCTCTATCGATCGCGGCTGCCTATATAACCGTCCGGCCAACCGACTCTCACCTCCTTTCCGCGTTACTGCACCCTCAGGAATTTTGGGGCGACACGGCGCAATATCCCTCGGCCTTCCGTTTTCGTTCGGATATCGTTCTATAATAATCGCCAAATGGACGATTCCTCGATATTGACCTCGATTGATGCGTATCCTCTCCAGGAATTTCCGACCGCCGTATATAGCGTTACGAAAATACCGTATACAACGAGAGATTTCAAATGTATTCGGGAATTACATAATACTATTTGAGAAGTTGTACAAAGTGCTTGCATTGTACGACGTAAAATAACTTATATGATATCGAACTCTTTGTAACATATGTTATAGGACGCCCTTTACTAAGCGCACTTCCTTTGAATTGCGATTTTTTTGCCAATCTTGAATCAATTTTTACTTTTATTAAAAAATTATGTCGTAAAATTGCTTTCAAGTTACAAGCTTTAAAAATGGATCCTGGCTGGGGTAATATTTTTCGCAATAAGATTTTTCTTAAGGGGGGAAGGGGGTTATCATATTAGATGTTACTGTGTAGCATTATTAAAATAATTTATAAACGTGAATTCACTGACGATAACACCTCCACTTACGGGGATTAACCTGTGTTTTAAGACTAGTATGTAACTGGCGCACAGGATAAGTTGGAAAAGAATACGGTATATGAATTCACTTAAATAATTTAATTTAACTGGCTACTTACACCTATGCCCGGT